AGTTCCTCTGCCTGGGTGTCTGCTGGGGACCTGGCCAGCAGAGCTGTGCTGGCACACTCCTGGCATGCCCATTAGCCAGCAGGCAAGGCCTAATTTTCTCCTTCCTCCTGCTGTCCTACAGGATGATTATTTTTTAAACAGGTTACAGAGAAGATCAGTATTGAGACTCTGATGGTGGTGCACACAGAGGTGGTGGGATTTGCCCAGGGTTGGGGATGTCTGTCAGGGAGCCCAGAACTGACCCTCTAAATGCCTATGAGACAGTATTTATCAACTCATGTAAGTCTCTCCTAAAATTAATTCCAGTATAAGCTTATTCTAAGCTGAGAGCTCAGTTTGTGGTTCAATGTATGGAGGTGGATGTAGAGCTTGTGTTTCCTCAGCTACTTCCAGTGGGGCCAGAGTAGGAGCATCCCTGGGTGTGGTGTGGTACCTGCCTGAGCTGGTATTTTGCAGCCTTTCCCTGACCATTCTGATCTGACCTCATTTCCAAAATAACTCTTGAACAGAATGGTGACACCAGTTGCTTTCAAGGGAATAAAGGAGAAGCCTTTGCTAGAGAATTGCTTTGGCAACATGAGAAGAACTCTCTGCTAATTAGGCAATTTACAGATGAGCAGGGATGAGAAGTTGGGCAGTGCTTGCCTGTTCTCTTGGCACAGTTTTTCCCAGAGCTCTGGATGATGCACCAACCTGCCTTATATTTCATGCCCAGCATCTCCTCACTTCCATTTGGCATTTGCAGAATTAGCACAGCACACTAGAGAGCCCAGGGAAGTTTTCCAGGTACATATACAAAGGGCTGAGGGAGCAGAGGAGACAGATGGTGGAGTTTCTCTGCTGCTTCTGAGATATTCCTGACCCATGCACAAAAGGTTTTCTCAAGCCCCCACTGGTATATGTTGTACCCTGCTATGTAGGTTTAAAAGGGCAAAACTGATTGCAAAAAAACAGGGCCAGGAACTGCAACCTGCTTTGGTTTCCTGGCTGGGATGTCCCAGGCCCCTAGAAACACCAAGGGGTTTGGTGAAGACCAACCTTCCACTCTGCTTTCCCAGTACTCTGTGAGAAGCCTCCTCACTACTCCAGAAGCTACATCTGACTTTGCAAGGGGCAGGACAGGGAATGGAGGTGCACAGAGGATGCAAAGAGAAGCTACATTTTGGGAGGGAGCTGCTCCTCCCATACTTGCATGCTGCCTGGTGACACCTTGCTGGAAGGGGCTCTGGTGGGGAACCAGCCCAGGGGGGCCCCAAGGACCAGCATCTCACTGCTGCCCTGGTACAGAATCACAGAATCATTCTGGTTGGAAAAGACCTTAAAGATCATCTAGTCCAACCATTAACCCAACTCTACCAACCATTAACCCACCTCTACCAAGTCCAATGCTTAAACCATGTCTCTAAGCACTGCATCTCTACTTTAACACCTCCTGGGATGCTGATTCCACCACCTCCCTGGGCAGCCTGTTCCAGTGTTTGATAACACTGTCAGTGAAGAAATTTCTTCTAATATCCAACCTCAACCTCCCCTGGCACAACTTGAGGCCATTTCCTCTTGTCCCATCCCTTGTTCCTGGGGAGCAGAGCCCAACCCCCCTGGCTCCAACCTCCTCTCAGGCAGTTGCAGAGCCAGCAGGTCTCCCCTCACCTCCTTGTCTCCAGGCTGGACACCCCCAGCTCCCTCAGCTGCTCCTCACAAGTTCTCCAGCCTCTTCTCCTTCTGCTCCAGCCCCTTCCCCAGCTCCCTTGCCCTTCTCTGGACATGCTCCAGCCCCTCCATGTCCTTCTTATGCTGAGGGGCCCAGACCTGACCCCAGGATTTGAGGTGCCCCCTCCCCAGTGCCCAGCACAGAGGGACAATCCCTGCCCTAGTCCTGCTGGCCATGCTGTGTCTACATCGTGGCCTCAGCTGCAGTGAGGGCTGAGGGAGAGGAGGGTTTGGCACGGGGCCCTGGTGCCTGCCCTGGGGCTGCCTGGCAGTGGGTGCTCAGCAGCCTCAGCCTCGTGATGCTCTTGGGCCCCAACCAGATACTCTCTCCTCAAGTCACATCTTGGTGACTCATGGGATGTGCGTGGGGAACACCCTCCCCAAAGTCTCTTGATGTTGCCCATTCCAGTGTGGAGGCATGGGCAGGACAAGCTTTGCTCTTCCTCTGCTGTGTAGTTGAAAGGAGATGCTGTTTTGATTAATATTGGGGGATGGAATGATGCTGTTAACTCTGTTTTCCTCATGAAAGCAACACAGAGAACAACCCCCTGCCCACAGCATTTAGGGTGTCTCTGCTCATGGGAATTGCCTGGCAAAACCTGGTGGTTTCTGAGGCTGGTGGAGAACAGAGCATGAGTCCCTTCACGAGCTCAGCCCAGAGCCACCCATCCTCACCCTGAGAACCTCTAGTTTCTTTTCAATCCCTGGCATCATGTGCATCCTCCTCCTCTCAGCTTTCTCTGGGGTAGCAAATACATTCAGGTCCCCACCCAGGCAAAACAAACACCACCAAAACAAGAGGTTCTCCCCCCACGTGCCACCATTCAGTATCATTTTCTCTAGCAAAGCTGCTCCTTTGCACGCTCCCCAAATTCTCCATCGACAGGAGACTGGGCCTAAATTTGCAGTGTATTTGCTTCCATAGAGCAGCTCAGTGACTGTGACGTGCCAGAAAGCCATAACCTAGATTCCCTTAAAACAAAAATAGCCAAGGGAAAGCCAGGCTGCTGTTAATCCAGAGCAATCAGCAGCAGCTTCCCAGGGTGCTGAGCACTGCTCGCTGCTCAGCTCAGCCAGGAGTTTGGTTTCCTCCCAGGCCCCAGAGTCCTGGAAGCTGCTGCCTGGCAAGCCATGTTCTGGGGAGAGGAGCATCTTTCCCACCCCTCCAGCTCCCTTCTTCAGCAGCACAAAGCACACCTGGAGTCTCAGTGGCTGTGCTGATGGATTCTGTGCTTTAAAGCATTTGTTTATCCTCAGGAGAGCAGAGACAACAGGCTCCTTTCCCCACCAGCAAGCCCAGACTGGTTTGCACTCCTTTCTGCTTCCACCATGGCTTCACAAGCAGGCTGAGATGTTTCCAAGCATCCCTGCCAGCTGTGAGCAAGGCACTGTGCAGCCTTTATTATCTTTTTAAAATCTTTTCAAGTTGGCAATCAACTTTGCACAGAACTTCAATACAAAACACTCCTCTTTTGTCGTCCATCGAGGAGCTCAATTCCTGGCTCCAAGCTGGTGTCACAGGAGAGAGGAGCCTTGTCCCTGCTTCCTTTTTCTAGCAAAGGGCAGAAGAGGAGTTTTGGTGCTTTGCATTGGCAGCAGGTGCCTTTCTGTGCAAACACTAAAGCTATTGTCAAGCACTGCAGCTCTGCTCAGCAAAGCCAGCTCATGGTGAGCAGCAACACAACACTAAAATGCAGCAAGCACTGCAGCTCTGCTCAGCAAAGCCAGCCAGGGATTTTGGTCTCTGGGAAGATGAGCAGTGCAGAGCTGTGTTTCCCCTACTCTCCTGATCTGAATTCACCAATGTCAACCCTGCTGCCTGCTTCTTCCAAAGCATAATCTCCAAGGAGTTCCTGCAGCTACTGCTGAACAAGAAAACAGGCCCATCATTTAATTCTCTGCAGCCATGGTGGGTCAGCTGGGCTCAGGAAAAAAGCACTAAGAGTTCTCCAACACTTTAGCAAATCAAGTCAATCCTTTCAAGGCACCAGGTGTCAGAAAACCAGTGGGATTTCTAAAGCACAGCCTGCCTTCATGGGTATTGTTTAACCCCTCTGAACCCAGCTTTGTCACGGAAGACAATCCCAGGGAGACGGCACAGGTTGACTGTTTATTCTACAAGAGTCCATCTATGTCATTTGTTGCTGAGAGGTGAGATTAATGAGGGTTGTTAGAGCAGGGAAATGACCTGAGTGATCTTCTGCCCTGCTGGGTGGGTGTTTCTCTAAATGCATCCTTTCCAGTGTGTGCATTGATTGAACTTAGGAAAAGAACTCTTTGTTTTACTTGCAGAACACACGTGTTTCTGCAGGGATTCCTACTCTTCCAGATGTGTTTAACTGGGTTGGTATCATTTTAATAAATAACCTGAAAACCTTCCCCTTTAGGCAGTGTCCCATTATGCAGATATAAAGCTTGAGGTCGAGTGTTAGGATTTAAGATGTAGAGTTAAGTGATGTATTAACTGAGAATAGTTATTATGTAAAATGACTCCAGCTCATCCCTGGAATCCCAGGCTTTAAAAAAAAGTCTATTTTTCTTGTTTACCAGTACTTATGAAAACCTGCCTCCTCCAGCTAAATCCCAAACAGAGGGCTGAGCAGTTTGGAGAAGCCACTGCATGTGTGACCAAACTGAGAGCAGTATTTTTTCCCCCAAACTTTTAGTTTCCCCTTGGCCTGTCATCAGCTGAGCTAACGTGCCACCCCAGGTTAACTGCAAGGATATGAAAATAAGGTATTGCAATCATTTACAGAAGGTAATTATTAATATGTGCTTGTTTTTTTCAATCTGTAAAGGCCACATGAGGTATTCTCCCAACCTCAGGTTTTGAGACTAGTAGGGCTGTGAAGGCTTGGGGTAAAGGGCTCTGGAACAAAGAGACTGAAGTCTCTGAGATGGCTACATTGGGAGGTTCGTGTTCTCCAGCCTGGGGCAGCATTATCATTTCTGGCACAGAACAGAGCAGCAGTTTTGTATTCTCCCTGTCTGACTGAGGAGACCACTTTGGTCATCAGTTCTCTAACCCCATTGCAAGGTAACCGAAGGCCTGTTTTGTCCATGCAGAGAAGATGCAGAGATGCTGTACCAAACAGCAAGCTAAAATGTTCTATTCTGGTCAGTGTCATTCCTTCCAGGGACAACAGCAGCCTGGCCATTGACTGATCCCTCAGTGCCAACATCAACCTTTCAACTCTGGCTCTGCTTCAAAAAGCTGCAATTCCTAGAGAAGCAACAGAGACCTCCCTGCATGCAAATAACTGGGTGTCTCTCATCCCTTTGCTTTGCAGGAATGGCAGAAGCTCAACTATGACATCTACACCTTGAGGCAGACTCGGAAAGAAGTGAGAAGCAGGTGGAAACATATTTTGGAGGATTTAGGTAAGCTGGAGGACAAAAGGATGTAAATGTCTGTGGTGCTGAATGAGAAGTCCCATGGTGGTTGAGGATGGGAGCAATTCCACAAAATCAGGCAGGGAGAGGAGAAAGGGAGGCAGATAAACCAAGCAGTGCCATCAGGGAGCCCACATGGCAGCTGAGAGCTCCTCAGAGCTTGGGCATGGCTGGGAGGAGACAGAACCACCATGTCTGCAGGCAAATCAGGAAGTCCACGAACCACAGTCAGTGGGAAAGCCTTTTAAGCCCATAATAACATGCTCAGTCATCCATTTCAAGCTTCCTGTGGAAACTCAGCCATGGATACCTGGGAGTTCACCGTAGGTTTTTCTAAACAAGATAAGCAGGGAGAAATGAATATTCCTTTCAGATTTGAACACAGATGAATCTAGTTTTCTTCCTTAGCCCATGCCAGCTGATCAGAGCTAAACCACTCACTTTGTTTGCTTTTAAGTGAACTTGAAATAGTCTTTTACCAAATGAAAGTGCTCAACTGTTGCTCTCTTACTCCTGGTATTTCCTGGTCTGCAAACAGTGAACTGCACCCACTGGTCCTGTGGGCTCAGCTGCTGCTGCTTCCTGGAGAAGGCAGTGACTGGTGTGACCTGGTTTTCCCAACTGCACCAAACACAGCCTGTGACACTTGGGCCAAGAGATGTGCCATGCTGGCACATCAGCTCAGTGACTGGCATCGTGTTCTGGAGGTGGTTGGCATCTAATGAGAGGAGAGGATGTGTGAGTTGAGTGCCCTTGTTGGGCTGCTCAAGGATGTTACCACTGGGAGATGGGTATCTCAGCTGCTCCTGCCCCACCTGGCATCTGGATGGGAGGAATATGATGAATTCCTAACTTGCTATCAGGGTTCATCTTCACCAGGGTGCTCATGCAGCCTGTACAGAACAAACACGGGAGGGATCACTTGCCATCCTTTCATCTGTCACTGCACGTGGGCAGAAGATCTCCCACATCTCCCTCCCGTCTGCAACGGCTCCGGAGCAGCTCTGGGGAAGCTCAAGGCCAGGGGTCAGTTTGCCTTAGCAAAGCTAGATGTGCAATCAGATGTGAAACCAGCTTGTTATCTAGACCTGTGCTTTAGTCAGAA